CCAAATTCCTAAAAATTCACCAATAAACTCAAATGGGCTGGTATGAGTTGCCTCCTACCCATCACTGCTCCTGCCACATTCCTTGACCTTAGGCTTAGCCATGTGACTTGCTGTGGGCAATGGGGATTAATAAACATGACACAGAGAAGTGCTTGCAGGTTATTCTTTATTTTTTTGCTCCTCTCTTTTAAATATGGAAACATTTCTGGGCTGGTCTGTTGAAGGATGAGACAGTGAAGCAGAACTGAGTGGTCCACTTGTCTCAGTCAAGGTCACCTGGACTAGTAGTCCAGCAGAAGACCCTAGAAATGCAGAAGCCCAGCCAAGATCAGAGAGAGTCCAGCCAAGACTAGACGAACCAATCACATGACCCACAGATTCATGAGTTAAATAAACTCTTAGGCCCTGCCCCCTCCCCAACAAGTAATTATGTGAAGGAGGTAATCTCAGAGATTATCTTCTTGTGGTCACTATTGATAACCACTTCAGTTTGGGGATAGGAACACTTACATTCTTCAGTCTTTCAAGGCTTAGATACAGGGATTTTAGTCAAATCAGACTGCAAGTTAGAGAGTAAGCTTCCTTAGCATAGCCATGATTCCTTTCAACTCTACTTGTAGACTTAACCTAGCCTCAGTTTGTCTTTTTAAGAGTGGTCAAAAGGGAGACAGTGAACACTAATATTTTATATTTTTCTTACAATTTTTGCCAATCCTATGTTCCTATCATGAGTCTTCCAAGATATGGCACATGTGAAATTGTGATTCATTGTTTTGCCACCACACGATCATGACTAGCCTTCTAGTTTCTAATTACAAAGGCCTGTACCCCCTACTGTTTGTCCCCATTAAGCCAATGCTGCATTTTTAGATTAATACTTAAATATGTAACTTCTGATCTTTTCTCTCTCACACACACAGTGTATGTGCACAGCTTAGAAGTAGGGAGTTCAGAGCTAATATTCTAGTTCCATATTTTCAGAATCCACCTCTCAAGGCCATCAGCCCTAGGGGTGGCTCCATACATGTTCTTGGGCCACTGGACTTGGGCTGAATTGAATCACCAGCTTTCCTGTTCTCTGGCTTGCAAACAGCAGGCCATAAGGGCCTTTGTAATAATGCTAGCCAGCTCCAATAATAAATCTCTTTTCTGTTTCTTGGGATAACCCTAATACTCTGTCCTAGGGACAAGATTCTCGTTATTTCGATGCCTGTGTCCTCTAATTGTAAACATTTCTCCCAACTCTTTCGTGGGGTGTATAGCCCAGGTAGAATCCTTATTCAGTTGTTGGATTCCCTTTCCCTACCCTTACCTTAGTTGACTTTTGGTTTGGATTGCATTTTATATGAACTAAGTTAAGGTTTACAAAAAAACTTTCAAGTATGTCTTTCAATGAGGAAAGGACTGACCCAAGGACCCAATGTATGATTTAGCTGATGCTATAAGGCAGAATTCTTTTTGATAGTTATTATTATTTTGATAGTTTTTCATGCTCTTCTAAAACAGGAAACATATATAGGAAGAATCTGAGTCCAGTATTAATAAAGAGGACTGGGAGTATTTCTGGAAACAATGTATTTCTGTCTTAGCTCAAGGGAAATTCATACTGAGGCACTGACAGAAACTGTCCATAGTGTAATATAAACAATAAACAACAACAAAACAATGCAAAACAAAACCCACTTAAGTATGCCAGAAATTAAAGAGACTCCTTTAATCCTCAGCTGTTAAAAATTTATGCACCTTTTAGAATGGACTATTGTATAGACGATTTGTGTTAAATTTTTTTCTGAGAAAGTGATTACCAGGAAAAAACATAAATTTAATAATAAATATGCCTGTCAAGCTACCTTCATTTGCTCCTGTAGAATTTCTAGAACAGGAGATTTGATAGATGCCCAGTGTACCTGTTTTACATAAATAAATGGTGAAGTATACACAGATCAAATAGAAACATAAGCCAGGTGATGGTGCAATTGGTTGTATGCAATTGATGGTTGAAATTGTACTTAAGCTCAGCAATCTGGTTTCTGCCTATTTTCCAATCCTTCCCCATTACTCTGCTCCAACTACAATGACCTATGTATTTGCAGTTACCTATACATACCATAGTCTCATAATTCTGGGTGTTTGTAAACACTATTTCTTTGCCTGTACCACCATTTTTTTCTCCTTCACCTCGTTCCTACTCATCCTTTGGATGACAGTTTTGCCGACTTTCCTAAGAAGCCACATCTGAACCCCAACACTCTTCCTATCTCCCTACTGCAGCATAATATATCATAGTGGCCTTTCTTTGCCCAGTAGTAAGCTACTAGAGTGAGGATGGTCTTGTTCATAGTTGTAGCCCCAACACTTAGCACAGTACATGATATTCAGCAGTTCAATGACTAATAAAGTAAACTGAATGCTACAATAACCATCCCAATCCCTTTCCAGAACTAATGATTTGGAAAGCAGAAAACAAATTTAAGTCAGTTTTACAGATGACATAAAGTGGGATAATATAATCAAAATTCGAAAAAGCAAATATTCAAAAAGAATTCAACAGGCTGGAAACCAATGAGGTAAATTCTAGAGAGAAATGTAAAGTTCTGCATTTGTTCACACTGTTCAGTGGGTTTCAAAGTGTAGCCTAAACTAATGTTGGAAAAATATAATTAAAAACAAAACCTCTTGCCAACCCAAGAAAACCTTTATACAAAGACAGAAGAGAAAGTTTTTAAAAAATTGTTTTTTATTGAATAAGCATTAGACTAGAATGTTATACACATTACAAGCAATTCACTGATTGCCAAGACAGAAATCTCCCCCTTTTATATAGCTGAACAGATATAGTCGATTACATACTTCTCAAATGATATAGCTAGTTTCTAAGAGGACTCATTAGCACCATTTGTCACAAAGTTCATTCTAAATTCACTTGGTAATTTTGATGACCATCTGTGTTTGTTAATTGTTCAAGGGAAAAATAGATTTCTTGTGTCTTTATGACAGGAGGTAGAGTTGCAATTTGCAGCCAGGTGTCCTTCAAAGTTAGGCTTCTATCTGTCCAAGAAACCAGGAGCCAGGGGTACTTTTTCTTGTTTAAATTTCAACAGGATGGATACCAGGTTCTTGAGGAAGCATTCCTGGGTTGTAAAACTGGCAAGAGGCTAATTTAGCTTTCAGAAGGATTTACATACATTTCAAACAAGTGCAGACTTTTTTTTTTTTTTTTAGAAGTTTTACACATACCTGTAATCCCAGCAACTCTGGAGACTAAAGTGGGAGGATCTTGAGTTCAAGGCCATCATAGGTTTAAAAGAAAAAAATTACTCTCAGTTGGGGGACATAATTCACTGGTAGAGCATTTGTCTACTTGTAATGTCTAATGAGTTCAATTCTCAGAAACACAGAAGAAAAAAATAAGGCTTAAAAGGAAGTGTGCCTGTGTGTGCACACCTGTTTGCTCATTGGTGGCAGGGCAAGGGTAGGGGAGATACAGCTTTCTTTTTGCACTGGGGAGAATTAAGTAGTTTTCTTTTTCTTTTTTTAAATATATTTAGTTATATACGGATGCAATATCTTTGTTATTTATTTTTATGTGGTGCTGAGGATAGTACCCAGTGCCTCACAAATGCGAGGCAAGCGCTTTGCCACTGAGCCACAACCCCGGCCCTTAAGTATTTTCTTATTTCTAATTTATATTTATCCTTATGTGATTATCAGCATCACTAAGCAAATTTAGTTAGAGGTACAAATTCTCAGATACCAGTTGAGCAACTGGGGTTTTAGATAAGTTCCCACATGAAGCTAATGTTGCCTAAATATTGAGAATTATTGGAAAGGACTGTTAGTAGCAGGCCATGTGAAAAGAAAAGACAAAGGATTTGGTATTTTGCCAAAGTGTATACTGTACAAACCACTCTCAATTTTGGTGTTTTAAAATTATATATTATTTCTTGGTAAAGCAACATTATTTGCAACGCTCTAGCTTCTTGTTTCATTTGTACAAAATTATCCTATTCAAATAATAAAGTTTGTGCAAAATGGAAAAAAAAAAGGATTTAATTTTACTTGAATTAATGGTTATCTCTAGTTTGTGTAAGTAGTCATCTGCTCTGCCAGCATGTTACCTTCAATTAATTGTCAAGAAATTAAGGTATCTATAATAAAAATGTTATGAGCCTGTTTAGCCAACAGTCAAATCTCAATGACTTGCACAGAAAGGGAATAAAAACAAGTTTTGAAAAATAAATGTGCTTGTTTAGCTTTAGAGTTAATTCTCTAATTTAATCTATTAAGAATTGCCTGAATATTACTTGATTAATAAACCAAGAAAAGCTAGAAAAATCAAAGTCCAGAAAATTGTGCAGTTTTCTTAGATGGACTTCAGTTCACCTAGTTCTCTTATGGGGACCAAATCTTCTATCAGTTTCCCAATTTTGAATGTAAACTGGAAATCCCTGAAGATATGCTTAAAGACAAATTGCAGTGGAAACTGCAAGAATCAGGGCAGGGAGAGAAGAGAGTACTTCGGTGCATGAGTTCATGTGAGTAGTTGGGGAGTGAGTTCCCTGTTGGCAGGGGCCAGAGCCTGCCACAACCTCATAGAAGGCAGCTTTGGAGACCCAGTTGAATTTTTAGGCATGGGGCCAAAAAGTTTGAGAAAAGTCTTAGTAACTCAAATTTGGTACATTCTTGAAAGCAGCCCTAAATAATGTTCATGGATTTGTCATTTTATGATCTACACAGTCTTATGGAAATGTCTTCTTGAATTCCTCATTAGAAATCTTATTACATTGAGCCTACCTTCTTCATCCATAGTCTATCCATCGAGGGCCATTTTGCAAGATTTGGTTAAAGACAAGATACAGTATAATTAATGCTATGGATTTTCCTCCCTAAAGGCTTTCAAGAAACCTTTTGCTTAAGAAGAGTAAACAAATCCCCCCCCCCCTTTTTTTTTTTACCTTCTTTGGCTTCATTAAAGGGAATCACAAAATTTCAAACCAAACTTTAAAGATCAAGTAATGTCTTTAATGAAGAGAAACTACAGCTCCAAATGTAAAATGATTTTTACTCAAAAATAGGGAGCTAATACTCTTCCATATAGCATAAGGGAATAAAACCAAGTGGACATAACTCAAAGACTCCACCATACATACCTATTATTATTAATATTATTTTGCTAGGAATCATACACAGCTTCTACAGAAATACAACAAAATTGCCCAAGATTGGTTTTCTTTCTAGCTTTCTAAGTTGTGTGCATTAAAAAAAAAAAGTGAACACAAAATAGTCATAAAACAAGAATCAAATATGCACAAGAAGCATTAACAAGACATTAGCCTATGCATGGGAGTTCTTTTTTTCCCTCAGAACACAATGATGTTCCTGAAGACAAAAATCTTGTTTAATCATTTTTGTTTCTTCTGTAAAACCAAGTACTGTCTTAGGCCTTACGCATTCGTTAAGATTATGTGTGTGTGTGTGTGTGTGTGTGTGTGTGTGTATGAGATATATATATATATATAGCAGGGGACAGAGGGATAGTTTTTAAGTAAATACTAGTCCAGTGCCTGGATTTCTTGGACCAAAAGGCACCATCTGCAAGGCTTCTGTGAAATAAAATGTGTAAAAACTATATAGTTCCAGACATACATGTTAAAAATCGGTCACCAGGCACACTAACCCTTAGAAGTTGCCTCTTTGGCCTCAGCTATCCCAATCAGTGTGTGGACCCTTCTTGGCTGTTTTTCAAAGCGGTCAGAAGCAGTCTTCAGAGAGGACGACTTGAGTCTGGAATGTCTATTTAAATTCTTACAGATCAAATAACGTCTTTAATGAACAGCAAACCTGGGTTGTAGCTGGGTTGCTGGGAAACGCAAAGGCATTGGGGCTAGCCAGAACATTTGGCGCCCAAGTTTCAGACAAGGCCAGGATCCCAGAGCTACTTGTCAAACAAAGCCAAGCAGGCCCAGGTTCGTGGTGCGAGCAAGGCTAGCCCCGGGCCGCAGCTGTCCCTCCAACATGGGGAGTCCCGGCCGGACCGTTTCCTACCCATTGCGACCAAAGGCCCGCTTCAGCGCGTCCACGAAACGCTCATACTGACCCAGGATGGGGCTCTCCCTCTCGATGTAGGGGACCACCCACTCCTCCGCCGGCCCAGAGAGGCGGCTGATTACAAATGCCACCTTTAGGGTGTCATTCGAAAATCTGGTTTCGAAGAAGTTCACGTACGATGCTGCTTGGATCAGAAAGTCGGGGAGCCGAGCGGGGTCGCCGTTAAACGTCTCGGGAAAAACCACCGGGCAGGTGGGCGGACGCACCTGGGCCAGCAGGTTGGCTTTCTCGCACAGCAGGCGCCGCACCTGGTCCATGAGCTCGTTGTTTTCCCTGCGCAGAGCATGGTTCTGGGTCAGCAGATCCTGCATCATGACTGCCAAAGCGTCCATCCCAGGAAAGCCTCGGTAGGCCTCACTCCCTGCCGGGCTCCGACCCCGCCGCGGCGTCGCCGGAAGTGAGTCCTCGGGGGGTGTGTCCTCCCGGCAGCACGGACCGCACTCCGCGGAATCAGAGGGCCTAGGCTTTAGGACGGCGAGGAAAGGTCTCCGGGGCTAGTGGAGGGGGAAGTGGGAATCGAGGACGCTGGAAGCGGCGCACGGGAGCAAGAGGAGGAAATCTGGGGAACCGGGGAACGAATCCTTTGGCCCTAGGGCCGCGCTCGGCGGAAGAATCTGACTGCGTGGCGGCGTACTCTTACTTCCGGCATTCTCCGGAAGCGGGGCGGGTCCGCAGATGCTTAAAGGGAAAGGCAGTCACACGGTGGAGTGAGGCTGCGGTTTCCCGCTTGCGCCCGGTGATACGTAGTAGTCATAATATTTATGGCATTCGTTCGTTGCTCTGAGGTTTTATTTGTTTTTCCCAAGGCCTCCCAGCAAAAGAGGGAAATTCCAGCGAAGCCCTCTGTGCTTACGTAGACTATTCCCAGGGCTCCCATTCTGACTGGGGGGACTCCAGAAAGATTGCGCAGAAGCACAAGGAGCTGCTGTCATTTACAGAGTGCCCCTTCCGTGCCCATCTCATTTAAACGTCCCGATTCTATGAAGTTAATGCTGATTTTCCAAGTCAAAAAAGCTGCTCTGTAGTATATAACTGTGCTGGGGATGAAAAGTCAGTGGAACGTTGGGAGAGTGCCAGGTCTTTCAAGATGAACTTTGGCTTCAAGTGGTGGGCAGGGACTGCAGATGGGGAAGAAAACACATTCAGCTGAACGCTGTCCGTGTTTATATTAATAAAAAGAACGTAATGGCATTTGGTCCAGTCCAGCCACCACTGCAGACGCTGGCAGTGAGCACTGGCTCTGCTGTCATAAGGCTTGTCTGACTTTCTTCCCTCCCAGCCAGTCTCAAAATTTTCCATCAGTGTGATGAGTTAGGTAAAGAAACTTTAAAGTATGTGTAGGGGGTGTCTGCACTCAGAAATTTAAACGACAACCAGCTGGAATTTTGCTGGACAGACTACCAAGAACCAACTCTCAGGTGTTCAGGACTCTAGTTCTTTGTCTTCCTGTATTCAAACAGGAGATACTCAAAAGTTGACCTTGTGGACCGTCTCTTGCCAGAAATACCCATGGTGGAATTTTGGGAAGAAAATTATTGGAGGGGATATTAATGTGTAGTTCAGGGGCTCAGAAATGCAAATAGTATTTCTTGAAAAGTAATAAAATTTACTTTAAAGATGATTTTTAGCTTTTGAGAGATGAAAACTTTCTGCTAGAATTTTTTTTGACATTTATGTGCATATGGCCGTTTTAATTCTGGCTTTTAATTAATTATTTTTTCCACACAATACGTTTGTTTGTTTGTTTGTTTGTTTATTTATATGTGGAGCCGAGGATCAAAGCCAGTACGTCACACTTGTGAAGCAAGCACTCTACTACTGAGCCACAACTCCCGCCCTGGCTTTTAATTTATTTACTTGACATTTTACAGAGCCTACTTTTTATTAATAAAATAATATATTTTCTGGTGAAACTGCAGGTCATGAATTGGGTTAAGGCAATTTACAAAGCATACTACTAACATAAGAAAAATTTGTATATTAAGAAAGTAGACATCCCTTTAAGAGTCAGCCCTAAAGGGGATCTTGAAAATCAGGAAAGATGATTGAAGAATTTACTAAGATTGCATTTCAGATCTCAGGCTTACTCTGAAGACCTTTTAGTGTTTGTCTATTCTTTAATAGCTAGAAATTATTCTCTTTGCTGAGGGAAAGGATAACATATCATTTGTATTCAATTCTTTTTTTTAATAAAGGAAGACCATTCACTGTATCCGTATAATTTATAGAACTTATCTGGACTATAGGTAGTATTAAAATGTTATTTGAAATTTAAAAGCCAAAATGAACTTTTACTTTGTCCTTAGTGTGAAATATGTAATTATGAACCCACATATAAATTTGGAAATCATACTTAGAATACTCAGAGTGTGCTTGCCACTAATATTGGTCACATAAATTCTTTGGCACATGGGGCCGGCGTTGTAGCTCAGGGGTAGAGCGCTTGCCTAGCACATGTGAGGCACTGGGTTCCATCCTGAACACCACATAAAAATATGCGTCCATCTACAACTAAAAAAATAAAAAATCCTTTGTACTAACTATATATTGTAAATTTTTTTTTTAATAAAACAATGTTGCAGGCTGGGTTGTGGCTCAGCGGTAGAGAGCTTGCCTAGTACATGCAAGGCCCTGGGTTTGATCCTCAGCACCACATAAAAATAAATAAGTAAAATAAAGGTATTGTGTCCAACTACAATTAAAAAGATGTTGCCAAATATATGATAGATGCTCAATAAAGATATAATGTATGTTTTCAAGTTATGAAGCACAATAATAAAGCAAACACTCCTGAATGTATGACTCATATTAACACCTTGATTGTTGAATTTATCATGTTACTCTCCATCATCCTGTAAAGTTAACCACTAACCTGAACTTTGTGTTAATCATTATCATTTCTGGCTTTTGAAAAAGTATAATTTTGTATATATATATTTACATATGTTCTTTTAAAAAGTATAGTTTGTGTGTATGTATATATGAGAATATATAATACATTAGTATAGCTTATTTCTGAGCTTTAAAAATAGTACAATTATTTTAGACTTCTCTTGCAACTTGCTGCATTAATTCAAGACTATGTTTCTAAGATTCCATGAAGTTGTGTCATGTAGCATTAGTTTTTTTCCTTTTTTTTTTTTCCTGTGCTAGGGATTGAACCCAGGGGCATTTAACAACTGAGCAACATTCCTAGCCCCTTTTTATATTTTATTTAGAGACAGGGTCTCACTGAATTGCTTGAGGCCTTGCTAAGTTGCTGAGACTGGCTTTGAATTCGTGATCCTCCTGCCTCCTCTTCCCTAGCTGCTGGGATTACAGGCATGGGCCACCATGCCCAGACTCTCTCTTTCTTTCTTTCCTCCATTCTTTCTTTCTCTCTCTCTCTCTCTCTCTCTCTCTCTCTCTCTTTTTCTTTCTTTCTTTCTTTCGCATAAGATACCACTGTGAGCGCTGGGGTTGAGGCTCAGTGGTAGAGCGCTCACTTGGCATATGTGAAGCGGTGGGTTAGATCCTCAGCACCACATAATAATAAATAATTTAAATAAAGGTATTGTGTCCATCTACAACTAAAAATATTTTTTTAAAAGATTCCACAGTGAATATAATTTAGTTTTTGTGCTTATTTTCTTGATAATAGACATTTGGATCATCTCCAGCTTTTGGCTGTTACAAACAATGTTACGATTGTTCTGTGTGTGTCTCCTGGTGTACATATTAAGAATTTCCATAGAGGATATATTTTGGAGTGAAATTGATAGATTAGAAAATCTATTAATATTAAACTTTATAAGATAATGCTACATTGTTTTCTAAAAAGGTTGTATACTTTTATTAATACCTGGTATTTTCAGAACTGTTCAATTTGCCAATGTAGTAGGAGTAAAATAGTATTTAATTGGTTATTTTCAGTTCATTTTCTTCATTACTAGTGTGGTTATAAACTTTTCATGTTTCTTTTGTGTGTGTGTGTGTGTGTGTGTGTGTATGTCAGGCTTGTTCATGCATTTTACCTGTTTTGGGCAGGTCTTTGTTGTTTTTATCAGTTTGCAATAGTTCTTTATATAACCTGGACAAGAAATTTTGTTTAGGGACACATAGATTGAATGTATGTTTTCTAAAATTGTGATTTGCCTTCTTAATTTCTGTGTCTTAGCTGTATTTATCCATCTTATTTGTGCTCAGCACTTTTAAATGTTTAAACAAACAAATAAACAAAAACTCTCCCAGTCAGTCCCAAAGTCAGAAAAATATTCCTCATTTTTTTCAAAGTTTGAAGGTTTTGCCTTTTGATTTTAGGTCTTTGCTGTATTTGGAATTCTATTTTGTGAGAGAGGGACCTAATTATTTTATCTTTATGATTGGTGATTTTTTCCAACAATATTTATTAATGTCTCTCCTGATTTGCTATGCCATCTTTCTCATAATGTCAGGTTTTAGGTATGAGCGTATGTAATTCTGGGCTTTCTATTCTTCCCTATTTGCCTGTATTTCCACAAATACTTAACAGTCTTAATTTGTGGAGTTTTATAATAAGTGTTTGTATCTGGAGGATGGGCCCTCTTCTGTCTTGTTTGTCTCCTTCAGGAATGCCTTGGCTATAATTGAGTCTTTGCTCTTTACATGCTCTTTCAAATCAGCTTGTTGAATCCCTGTAAGCCTAATTATCTTACTCTCTTGGCTTTGTCTAAAATATCTTTGACTTCAGGGCTGGGGTTTCACAGCAAAGTGGTTTGTTTAATATATTTGTGCTTTCTGTATTTGTGAACTCATGATGTTTCTTCTGAGATTTCCCAGCTATTAAACGAACATTGCTCCTCTTCATTCTCTCCTGTTGGGACTCACATTAACAGTATGTCAGATCTTCTTTTCACAGCCTTTTTTTCCTCTTCATTTTGCATAATTACCAGAAACTTTTCTCTTTCTCTGCTGTTTTTGGGTAAATTCTTTGAGCTATCATTCATCTCACTAATTTTCTTCCCAATTTCTGTTTAACCCATCTATTCTTAATTTTCAATATTTTTATTTTCATTTTTAAAAGTATATTTAGTCATTTTTAAAAAAAGTCTGCCGATTTCAATAATATTTTTTTCTGATACATTTTTTATTATATTTTTTCATTGTGTTAAACATTTCAAATTTAATTATTTTATATGGTATATCTGGTAATTTTAAATACTTGGAAGTCTGTATCTATTGTTTACTGTTTCTGATGGCTCTCATAATGCCTTGTTTTTGTGTGTATCATGAGTACCTATATAAATGGATTTTTAAATCTAAACCTTCCTCTAATATGGGAGATATAAGCCATAACAGTTACCATCCTTAGTTTCTTGGCCCAAGTCACGGTTGTTAAGTGGGAGAACCCAGAATTAAATTTGAGGTGGTTTCAAAAGCTATTTTTTCAGTTATACCAGTGTTTTCCACACTTCAGTCATATGAATAGCACCTTCATAATTTTTGACATGCAAGTATTACATTAAAATTGGTTCAATAAATGAGTAAAGGTATTAATATATTTAAAGCCCTTAGAGCACTGCCTAGCACTATTCAATAAATGTCAGCTATTATTATTTTTAATTTTATTCTTTAAATTGATTTTATATTTTAAACTTACTTACCTACTTTACCCC